GGAGAGAGAGCAGAAAGCAATGGAAGATGTCATCTGGGTGGACACGCAAGTCCTGAAGTTGGACACACAGGAGTTTGCAACATGCCTGATCCTAGCGCATGCTACCTTGGGCTGCATGACTTACCTTTCTCAGTTCCCCAATCTACATAAATAATCAACATTTCTCCCTCATTGACAGGGGTTCTTTAAGGATTGAAATAAATTATGTCCAGCCTGACAGCACTGATGTTTACATGGTGTTGATATCTTTTTATTTATCTCTGGGTTGCATCCAACATGTGCTAAGTGGAAATGTTTATGTCCCATAAATGTCTCACTTTAGTCCCTTAGAACCAATTCCAGAATGTGGACTTTCCTGCCTCTTCATCTATAAAGTAAGTAAGCAAAGAGCACATTACCATGTTTTTCCTTTCCCTGCAACATCACACTTCTTCGAAATGTACTAACAATACGCTTGGTCTTTAACATGTTTCTCCACACGACCGAGAGAGATGTGAATAGGGGACCCACCACTTAACAATAATCACCTTATTGATTTTTTTTCCCCCTTGAGCATTTCTGAAACTTTTGGCAAGAATCCTGAGGTTGCCGAGGCCATATGGGTGCAGGGGTCACCCAAAGAGAGCATCTCAAAGTGAGGCTGTGGGTGCCTGAGTGCGGGGTTTCACGGAGCCCCCTGCAAACGTGTGCATCCTGCATTCACATTCAGAATTTTCATGTGAATCTCCAAGATAACTGTCTCCCTCTTATCGCAGCTGCCCCCATGCACAACTCCAGCCAATAGAAAAAGAGAAAACCACCTTCACCATTTAGATCTCTAGACAAAGTCCAACATCTTTTTTTTTTTAATGTAAAGTTTCAAAGAAGCATGTGAATTCTTATCTTGTTAGCTGGCATTCCAGCCTGTGACTTAACCTGACAATTCCATCCTGTTTAATCAATAAGATTCTTACTTGGGGTCACATCTATTTTTTTTCTAACTGTGCCTTGGTGAACTGACAATATTCAGAATAAGGGTCCCCGGCGTGTGTCAGGGGTTTGCTTATGCCATTATCATTCAAGACATTCCACATACATTAATACTTCTCACAATGGCCTCATACAGGAGGTATCATAGAATTATTCTCATGCTTCAAATCCGGCACCCCAGGATGTCCTAATGATGGGAGGCTCGAATTTGGGTTTAAGCGGAAGGCAGTCTGATTCCAGACCACGCTTGGAGCTGGGACTCCCAGCTGGAGAGGGCTTGATGCCTCCTTGGAGGGGGCTTCCCGCCCGCTCCTCTGCCCATTGAAGGGCGAGGCATCCGGACTACACAGTGGTGTGTAGGTGCACATTCACGACTGTCCGTCTTTAGTCCCCCTGGGCCCTCAGTATGGTGCACCCCCAAAATATGGGCAAGGGGCTGCCTGCCTCAAGGGCCCTTCCCCAGCAACACCTGTGCCCCCAGTCCCTGAAAAATCCCCTACGTCCCCCTCAAGGCAGCCTCTTCCTGAGCACGTCCACCTGCTCCCTTACATGAGGCATCCCCACACCTCAGGATCCTGACGCTGCCTTCCAAGGGGAATGTGCCCCCCATCTGGTCCCTGCAAACACTGAATTTGTTGGGAACAAGTGTCGTTACAGGAACTGACCCGTAGGCCCACTTCCCTATTTTCCTTCTGTGGATTCATATTAACCTAAACGCATTGTCAATGCAAAAGTTATTTCTCTCTTTCACCCGTTTAAAATTCTATTTACTATTTAAGTGTTTCCCACCGCTGTTCCATAGTCCTTGCACCCTGCTCTGGGCTGGGTCCATGTGCCCACCTTGTGGCACAGCCTGGCAATTGGGCAGGGGCCTGATGAGGACAGCACTGCAGGGCGGGGGTGGGGGCCCTCCTGAACCTTCCTGAGATCCAGGGAGCCCAGACCTTCTTTAGGGAAGTGACCTCAGAACAGCTCCGGTGTTTAAAATCATAACCACATTTTTTTTGGTGTTGTTTTCTTTGTTGTTGCTGTTTTCATAGACATTACACCCTCCAACGCCTATCAAAAGCACAGGAGAGGCGCCTCATTCTGCACGACACACATAGGCTGGACCACGGCAGCCTCGCGCCATGAATACCTTTCTGCGTCTGCCCATCGGCAGGGGCAGTGCCTCCTATGCGTGTGTCCTGACGGCTGCTGCGCTCACCGTGTGTGTGTGCCCGGGCTCTGTTCCCACAACGAGACAAAAGAGCTGTACTCGCGCTGTGTGGTTTCAAAAATATTTTATTTTCTGGAATAGCCATAATGTCTCGGCTTGGACTTCCTTGCCTCTGTCCACGCAGAGAGGTGGGCGCTGTGCCAAGACCACACCGAGGTGCCGTACATCACACCTGCAACACGGAATGACGGCAGCATTTAGGAGAGCGTATGAAATGCTCACCGGGGTGCACGCGGACAGGATGGGGGTAAGGGGCGGCCGGGTTGCACACGGCTGAATACATTCATTGAGGCGTCCAAGCCCCACGCAGCGGGGCCCCACGTGAATGTGCATCTCATTCCCCTCAGAGTCCAAACCCAGCAGAATGAAAACCTGCTCAGAATCCTTCGTGGCTGCCAGACGAGGTGATGCACCTCCCCCTGTGATGCAATTGAGGACGTGCTGCCAGATGCAGTGTTCAGAGTTCAGATGTTACTAATGCTCGATTGGGGTCTAGAATTTCCCAGGCCTCTCTTCTCGCATGTGCAAAGTCTGTCTGTATTTTATAGGGTTATTCGTTTCTTCCAGAACACAGTCTCTTCTCCTTGCACCAGACTGGTCAAAATATTTGGCGTGACTCTGCACCCAGCATGGTGGGGAGTGGCTTGCATCTCTTCCCAGCAGCACCTGCTCTGCACACAGGAGGAAGCCATATAGGACTGGGCGTGGTTAAGTTGTGTTAAGTTTCACGGCATGGATTGCATCTGAGGTTAAGTGGGTCAAGCCCCTGTTGCACCAACCTTAATGACGATATTGTCCTCTGGACATCTCTAGCCAGGAATTAACAGTAAACACTTCCCCTGGGCTGCCCGGTGGGCATTTGAACCCCTGTGAGTTACCACTATGCACAAGGAAAAGGCTGATGGAGACTTCACAAGACTGGACCAGGCACGGGGGCAGGGATGGCTGGGTGGGACCACAGGGTGTGTGGAGGTTACAGGTGTCAGCATGGCCCCCCAAGGTGACACTGCCCGTGAGTCCTGACTGCCTGGTGATGGCTTTGCAAGATGAGTGACAGGGAGATGGCCTTATTCTTCACTGGGGGTCACCGTACCCTTCACCCCCACAGTGCAGCTGGGATGACATGCTGGCCAGCAGTGTCCAGAGAAGGGCCAGGCAGGGACCTCCGGGGAGCCGTCCCTCCGCATTGGAGTCCTGGCCCGCCGCTGGCCCGCGCTGGAGAGGGTCTCGCCACGTTTCGGCTCGTACCCGGAGAACAGGTGAACAGAGGGCCCCTCAGTGGCCAGAGCGCTAGGTCCCTTCAGGAACCCTGGATAGGCATAAAGAGAAGAAAAGAGAACAAAATGTAAGCGGTGGGAAATGGTGAGCTGATAAAAGCTGAATCGCTCAGAAGGGATGCAGAGGCCAAACTGAAAAGAAAACGGTCCCAGTGGCCGGAGCTGGGCTCAATGGAGAAAGAAAATAAATTCTACTGCATCGTAACCAACATAGAACATAAGTGTCCACAAGGCCATATCAGTGCAAATACATAATGGAATAGGTGAATAAATAAGGGAGGAGAGACACATCTCCATGCAAAAGAATTCCAAGTAATGTCTGCAGGTCCTTCATCCTCACAAAGGTAGAACGTGATGTCTCTCTCCCTACGTGTGGACCGTGCACGGTGACTTCCTTTGGTAAAATGTGGTGTCGCTGGCCTTTCACCTCCTCAGCCATCAACAGATGACTGATAAAGGTCAGCAACACCAAGGGAAGTCCCAGAAACTGTCACAGCCCAGGGGAACCTAAGGAGGCGTGGGGACAAAAGGAATGTGGAGTCCTGGGTGGGATCCTGGGTTGGAAGAAGGATGGTAGGGACGGTCTAGTGAGGTGCAAATGAAATGTGCTGTTTACCTTTTATAAAGGGGGACGAGGGAGTTTGGACAATGTGCCTGCATGACTCGAGTTTTCCATGCATGGATCATTTTTATTCTGCCGATGGCTGAACGAAGTGGAATGCAGGCCCCGGCCACGCGGGGTGGCTGAACCTGCAGGAGACCTCCATGTGCACGGTGGGGAGCTCTGGCTCTCCACTCCTCTCGGGGCCACCTGAGGAGGCACCGATCCATCAAAGTAGCATGTGCAAACTGATTTTAGAATATAATTTTACTGAATAAAAATGTGCACATTCTTGCATCTACAAAATGTGCATATACATACCTAAGTTTATACCTATCTATGCATACATAGCTTCATAAAAAGTCTGTCAATTTTAAAATAGAAATAAAAATATAAATGTATATATTCATATGGGACTTTGCATGCCTGGGCATATACACCTGCTGAAATGATACTATTTTGATACAGTGATCAAATGAACTATATTATTCAACTCGATTTCATCTCTCCTTTGTCTTTCTTTTCCAAGTGGCTACCAGAAAATTTTCAATTACTCTATTTTCTGGAGTCTATTTCTGTTGGACGGTGATGGGCCAGACTGTGGAAAAGTGGGGCTCAGAAAAGTGATGTAGAAATGGGGTACCAGGTGCCTCAGTGGAGTGGTAATTAGGGCTGTAGCCACATGGCTGGGACCAAGGTCGACTCGGTGCCCGAGGGCCTCTCCTTGTTCCTGGAGGGGCAACTTGAAAGTGCATGGTGAGGGGGGTCCCTCTGAGCCTGGGGCTGGGGTTTGGGGCAGGAGGATCCCACAAGCTCCAGAGTTCTTGCATTTGGTTAGAGGCAGTCCTCGGCATGACCCTCACAGCGCACAGATCCTTGTATGTGTGGTCATGCACCCCTGAGCCCCTTATCCAGCGTTATTTAATTTTACCGTTGCAAGACTGGAGCCCGTCGGGCCAAACAGCTGTTTGATGCTCACAGCTGCCTTCTCCCAGCGTGACCTGACCCTTGAAGATGGGTGGGTCTCTGCCCATTACTGTGTCTGCCCAGGAGGCTGGCATCCTCACCAGCGCTGAGCCAGAGATTCACTGGGGGAAGTGGAGAGGCACAAAGACATCCTTTCTAACCAGCCATCGAGCCTGGATTTGCACCAACGCCAAGTCATCCCCTGCATTCCAAGGGTTCTGGGAAACAGAGGGACAAATATGCACACGCACAGTACCATGTCTCCCACGACAGCTTCCTGCACGAGCAGAAGGAAGCTGTCGTGGGGAACGGGAGCCAGGACCCCGGGTCTGCACTCAGCCCCTACTGATGGCACGGCAGGGTCAGGGTCCTGTCACACCAGGACCTTCACGGGACCCTCCTCTCCTCCGTTCCTGGCAGAAGCTGGACACAGGAGAATCATGACCACAGACAGCCGCTGCGGACCTTGGTCAGGTGACGTCAGCCTCTCTAAGACTGCGACGATGATGGTACCCATCTCGCAGGGCCCACGTGTGGATAGGTATCCCCTGAAGCCCCCAGAAGCAGAACGGGATTCAGGGAACAGTACTGAGGGAGGCAAGGAGGCCCCTAAGGAAGGCAAAGGTGCTGCGTGACAATGAAGCCACATCTGGGGCTCGATTTTAGGCAGGGCAACCCTGAAATGGAGCTGCAGTTTGGTGCCCTGGAGCATGGAAATGTGTGTGTGTGAGTGTGTGTGTGTGTGCGTGTGTGTGTGTGTCCATGCCCACATGTTCAGTCCATCTTCCCCAGCCTCCTCCGGAAGTCCCTGGCCCTTCAGAGCCCAGTCAAGGGGTATGGCCCCTGGGCAACCTCCCCCTCCTCCCACCCGGCTCCTCCTCGGTGCCTCCTCCGTGAACCCTCTGCACAGGAAAGTGAGCAGCCTGTCCACCAGGTGCCCCGTGGCACCCTGCCCAGACTTCTGTTACAGCGACGATCAAAGTGTACCATTATTACCAATAACCTTGCACTGTCCCCAGCTGGGAATGTACGTGGTAATTCTAGCTGTGCCGGCCAATGTGGTAGCCACGAGCCATGTGGCTGTTTAAGAGAAACGCATTATAATTCTATACAATTAAAGAAGCAGGCCCTCCGTGAGTGGAGCCGCGCCCAAGTATGCAGTGGCGGCTCCCACCCAGGACACAGCACGTCTGTTGGCTTGTTGCTCCGTCCTGGTGGTGCTGGGTGGGTTCCTCTCCTTGGAACCTGGAGCCGGGACCTCCTGTCTTGTCTGCCTTTCTGAATGCTTGCTCCCCAGGTGTGCCCAGATGGGGGCCCCTGGCCGGGGCAGCTTTCTGGAAATGACGCTTCTCTTGAGCCTGGGTGGGACTAGGTGAGCAGCTACATGCACGTGTCCACTGCCCAGGTGGGAGAAATTCACGTGCTGGCCACCACTGGGGTTGGCCGGTCCCCATGGGTAACCCAGCCCCTACCCCTCAGGCTCCACGAGGGTGGCACCGGACATCAACATTTCTTACATAGTCCACGACATTGCAATGGGCAGATCTCCACTTCTTTCCAGCCCGGGGACTGGCTGAGTCCTGCCTGGGCCAGCCAGGATTATGGGCTGCATGGAAACCTTCTCTGGGAGGCTTATGTCGGGAGAGTTTAAGGATTCGATGGTGTGGCTGTCTGCCTGGTGGCCCCAAAGAGAGCAGGCCCTAGTTCCGAGAACCTGGGAAGGCGCCTTATATGGCAAAAGGGATTTTACAGATCTATGAACTGAAGGATCTTGAGATGGCGATGACTCAGATCACCCAGGGGGGCTCCTCTAAGAGGAGGTGGCAGGTCAGAAGATGAGATTGTGTGGTCCTGGAGGGAAAGGTCAGACGGATGCACCCATGAGCCAAGGGACGCAGCATCTGCCGAAGCTGGAAGGCCAGGAAGGCCTCTCTCTTGGAGCTCCCACGGGGAACCAGACAGGCCAACACCTTGGCTTGACTCCCACGGGACTACTTCGGGACTTCCACCCTCCGCACGGGAAGAGAATAAACGTGGTGTTTAAGGCCGCTGCGTTTGTG